TGCTTCTAACCTCTCCTCGTAGCTCTTGCCCTTCAGTTCTGGGAGCCACTTAGTAGCATGTCTTTGCACCTTTTCCAGTTTGTTGATGTGCTTCTTAAGATATGGGCACCACACAACAGCTGCATATTCTAGCTTTGGCCTAACAAAAGTCATGAACAATTTCTTTAGTATATCGCCATCCATGTATTTAAATGCAATTCTGAAGTTAGAAAGCATAGCATAGGCTCCTTGCACAATATTCTTTATGTGGTCCTCAGGTGATAGTTTTCTATCTAGAACCACTCCTAGATCTCTTTCTTTATCAGAATTCTTTAAAGATTTCTCACATAATATATAGGTTGTGTGGGGTCTATGTTCTCCTATTCCACATTCCATAACATGACATTTATTAACATTAAATTCCATTTGCCAAGTGGTGCTCCATATACTTATTTTGTCCAGGTCTTCTTGAAGGGCATGACAGTCATCTAAATTTCTTATCCTTCCTATTATCTTAGCATCATCAGCAAACATGTTCATATAATTCTGTATACCAACTGGTAGATCATTTATGTACACAATAAACATCACTGGTGCAAGAACTGAACCCTGTGGTACTCCACTTGTGACATTTCTCCATTCTGATACATTGCCTCTGATTACTGCCCTCATTTTTCTATCAGTCAGAAAATTTTTCATCCATGATAGAAGCTTACCTGTCACCCCTCCAATATTTTCCAGTTTCCAGAACAACCTCTTATGTGGAACTCTGTCGAAAGCCTTTTTTAGGTCCAGATAGATGCAGTCAACCCAACCATCTCTTTCCTGTAATATCTCTGTGGCTCGATCATAGAAACTGAGTAAATTCGATACACAGGATCTTCCAGATCGAAAACCATACTGTCTGTCTGATATTATATCATTTCTCTCTAGGTGTTCTACCCATTTAGTTTTGATTAGTTTTTCCAATACTTTCACTATTACACTTGTCAATGATACAGGTCTATAATTGAGGGGGTCTTCCCTGCTGCCACTTTTGTAGATTGGAACTATGTTAGCCTGTTTCCACCCGTCTGCTACGATTCCTGTACACAGGGATGCCTGAAAGATCAGGTGAAGTGGAATGCTGAGCTCAGATGCACATTCTCTCAGAACCCATGGTGAAACGCCATCTGGGCCAGCTGCTTTGTTCTTACCGAGCTCCTTGAGCATTTTTTCCACTTCGTCTCTAGACACCTCTATGTGTTCTATGTTGTTCTCTGGAATTCTTATTGTATCTGGTTCCCTAAAGATTTCATTTTGTACAAACACACTTTGGAACTTTTCGTTTAGTGTTTCACACATTTCCTTTTCATCTTCCGTGAATCTATTTCCCATTTTCAACCTCTGAATATTATCCTTTACCTGCAATTTGTTGTTTATGAATTTATAGAATAGACCTGGTTCTGTTTTACATTTGTCCGCAATCCCTTTTTCAAAATTTCTTTCTGCCTCTCTCCTCACTGCCGTGTAGTTGTTTCTCGCATCTTTGTATCGCTGGTATGTTTGGGGGTTCGGCCTCTTCCTGTATTGATTCCATTTTTGTGTCTTTCGGTCTCTAGCCCTCTCGCAATTTCTATTGAACCAATCCTGTTTCCTAGTTCTGCTTCTCTGTTTTGGTATAAATTTTTTTTGTGCCTTTATCATATATTTCACAAAACTTGCCATACATCTCATTCACTTCCTTGCCTAGCATCAAGTCTGTCCAATTATACTCACTAAAAAAATTTCTAAGGTCACCATAATGTCCTCTCCTGAAGTCTGGTTTTTCAACTGCTTCAACCTCCTTATTTTCTTCCAGCTTATAACGCATTGCATACTTTATTCCCAAAAAGACATGGTCACTTTTACCCAAGGGAGGAAGGTACTGAATGTCAAATATCTCTTCCTCCTTCCTGGTAAATATCAAATCTAGCATGGAGGGAACGTCCCCTTCCCTCATCCTCGTAGCTTGTTTAACATGTTGATACAAGAATGTTTCCAGGATGAGGTCTACAAATTTACAGGTCCAAAAATCTTCTGTTTTAGCTTCATATGCTTCCCAGTCTATGGATTTCAAGTTGAAGTCACCGACTATCAACAGTCGTGATCTATCGTTATCCGCTCTCGCTATAATCTCTCTCATTATTGTTATAAGACCTTCACGTTTACTATCTAGCTCCTCCTTTGACCATGTGCTGCTTGGCGGTGAACTATATGCATTTATCATCATTAGTTTATCATCCTCATAGCAGATCTCTAGTGCTATTATGTCAACTTCTTGTGGATTGGCAGTCATTATTTCCTTCACCTTTAGGTGTTCTTTTACCAGCACAGCAACGCCACCGCCTTTCCTAATTTTTCTGTCCCGTCTCCAAATTGAGTAGCCCCTTGGGAATATGACCTCATTTAAAATTACATCTTCAAGTTTTGTCTCCGTGAGTGCAACAATGTCTGGTGTCTGCAGCTGTATTACATCACTTAACTCCAGTATCTTCGATCTCACTCCATCTATGTTGGTGTATGCAATCTTCAGGAACTTGTTCCCCCTCTCCTTATTCTTCACTCCCCCTCTCTCTATTGATTTTGTTGGTTTGCCTTTATGTACCACTTTACTGGTTTGCCTACCCCTATCACTTTGTAAAAAAAAGAATTTATTTCTTCTTCATTCCTGCTCTCATTTAAATGTTTTGCCTCGGCGAGGTTCAGTTTCAGCTTCTCTCTATCTTCTTTTGAAAGATCTCGTCTTAACGACCACCCTTTCCCATCCTCATCCCTTTGCAATTTTCTAGCATTCCTTAGTACTTCTTCCATCTGTTTGGCACCGTTTAGGGTGATCCTCAAAGGTCGATCTTTCCCTTTTACGTACCTGCCTATTCTCCTGTAGTCGCACACATTCTCTCTGTTTGTAAGACCTTCCACGAGGCCAACAATTTTATCTACTACTTTAGCTTCTTCTACAGCTCTTTCTGACCTAGATGTTATCGCCTTTTCTTTGCAGCCAAAAATGATCAGGGACTTACTCCGATCAACTGTGTTTTGCACCAACTTCGGGTTAGATGCCAATTCTTTCCTCACTTCTAGCCTAATGTTTGTTTTATCTTGGTTGCTGCAGTGTTTGACTTCCTTTACTGCTTCTTCTATTTTTTCCTTCTCCTTGGCCACTTGTGCATAAGTGAGTTGCATATCTTTCTTGCACTGTTCTATTCCCTGTGTAACTTCCTCCATCTGTGCTGACAAAAGCTGTTTCTCCTGTTGAATTTCCTTGCCTAACCTATTGTAGTCATTTATGTTTAAATTTACTTTAACTTCTTCCAAAGCTATTTTTAAGAGTTTATTTTCTTCTTCCATGGCTTTGCAATTTGTTTCCAATTGATTCTTATCCTTGCGCAAGTCTTTCACTAAACCCTCAAGACATAAAACTTTGCTATTCAAATGGTCATTACTTTCTTTCAATTTACTAATTATTTCTACATGAGAGTTCACTATAGTATCTAAATTTACCAACTTGTTATGTAGACTACTAATATCAATGCTTTCTTCATTGAATCCCTCAAAATCAAGCTCTGTTTTGTTTTTCCCCTTGCCAGTGGCCATCTTGAATGTTCTTCTCTGCACTGTAAACACTAGGGGCAACTTTTTCTCATCCGATTTTTCACTTCCCTTAGCACTTTCCTGTTATCTCACCTATTTTTCAAGAGCACTATACCTTTATGTTCTCTGGGACACCACTCACTACCATCAACCTGTACTACAATACTTAGGATTGTTGAAATATGCTGGAGCTCCTCTGCTGCAAGTGTTGACCCTAGGGGTGTCACCTTTTTTTGTGTGTGTGTGGCAGTGTGTGGCAGCTCACTCATGTTTTTTGGGCTCACCATATTCACTAGTGGTTCGTTATGGTGAACACATATATAGATGGGTATATACAATGTGTGTATATAGTGTAACAACAGCTAAAACACTGATTGATCGTAAATATAATATATATGTCACATATATGAGCCCCATAATTTTGAGCACAGCGATGTTCCACACTTTGAACTATATAAATTTCATAAATTACACATTTATATAATATTACAGCAAAAATCCAGAGAAGAAAGGAATGAGGAAATACCAAAATAATTGTGAAACATTATACTCGCGGCAACTGCCGCCGCACGGGGTGGCGGGGCCGACCGACCCCAGGCGCTCCATCGCTCAGCGCCCATAATTTGTTTAACTTCCCACCTCCATCGCGGATAAAGTATGTCACGTACAATATTTTTGGTTAGTTTCCCGTGATCAGAGACTGCATTTTAACAATATAAGAGGAGAAAATAATTTTTTGGAAAAAAATTATTTCCTGCACATCAGGGGGAAAGGGGGTGTTTGCCGTATTTGGAGGCAGAGCAGTTCAGTGGTTAAGGACCTGCCCGAAACACTATGCGTTTCTGTGGCTTTACAAGAATGTAAAATCATCAATGCTATGTACTCTCGTAAACCCAATGTACCTTCTCATATATACATAAATAAATAAATAAATAAATAAATAAATAAATAAATAAGTTGAAGGGGGGCTGAAATGCCTTAGCGGTGTACCATTTTTTTTATTCAGACTGTGCCATGAAGTTTCACTCTTGCTTCTCCGTTTATGACAGTTTTTGGTCCAGGAGAGCAGGTTGCCTTTGACCTCTTTGTCGATGAGACAGCAGAGAATAACTGGGGCGCTAGCCAGTTCAAAGGCTTTCTCAAGAGGCTTCGGCTGGCATGCGATTCCATAGTTGTATAACCCTTTGCGTGATAAAGCATCTCTTGTTCTCTGTCCTGCATTGTGGCTTGAAACCGTTGCTCCTTGTTTGTGTTAATTATGACCTTAGGAAGAAATTGTCCGGATGAACATTTTCCAAATCAACCCGCTTACTCTTCAACTTGCATGACCCATGGCCACACTCTACTATGAGGAACCCCCCGTTGTTTATCCCCAAGATTGTTATTTTTTTCTAGCATTATGTACATACCTCAACACCATCATTAACTGTTTCCACATTTTATGGTGTGGTCGCTTACTGGTCACCTGTAGAGGGTGCGCGGCCCATTGCTTGCTAATATCACCGTCATGGAATCAACGTCTCCAGTGTTCCAACACTCCCCCTCACCATGTGTACACCACACGAAGGACAGAAGGACGTCTTGCTACTGCACTTCCAGCACCTACTGCAGAGGCTTGGAGATAAGATGTATCCCTGAAGTGAGCATCTGGCATCAGCAAGAATTACATAAGACCGTAAGCGGTTGACGACAGCGAGGGTGGAATGTCGAGTGATATCAACCCAGAGGATTAATATCACCTTGGGCTTTGAGGATATATTTAATATCCTTATGCTCCCTGTCCTTTCATAACATGTTGATGGAAAATAACGGTGCCGACACTGGTATTTAATTGGAAATTTGTTAACCTAAAACCGGGGTCTCACTCACCAATGCAGGATAAAGCAGCTAGGCAGGCGACTGTCTCCTTATGCAACTGTTCTCAGGGCAGAAATCTGCTCAAGAGAATGGACTAAGAACGACTACATTCCCTTAAATGGAGATACTACAATTCCAGTGCTTGAATGAAGGTGAAGGAAAGATCCAATATATGTATTTTTTAAAAACTAAATTTTTTGGATGTAACCAACATCCTTCTCACGGTACTGTATACTATGTTCTCAGAAAATTATATATAGTACTTTGAGAAAGGATGTAGGTTACATCTGAAAATTAGTTTTTTTAACACACTTACACATACATACATAATTAGTACTATTATCTAGCCATGGTTAGGTTACGTTAAGGTTTGGTTAGGTATAATTAATACAGTGTGTTGATGATGATAATGTGAAACATGATATTCAAAAACTATTTGAGTGTACCCATAAATTCCATTTAGAGAGAACCAAATTCCTTGAAGAAAATGTTTTCAGCATACACTTTTTATATTTGAAAGGAAAAATTTATAATGCAATAAAGTTATAGCTTGAGAATAATCTATTACAACAAAGGTTCATTTGCCAGCTTACATGTAGACTATTACTGGAACTGTAATATGCTTTCAGACCATCAAATATATAAACAATCATCCAGGTGGTTTGAAGGTGGGTGTGGTTTTATGGTAATGGATTTGGTCTGAGGACGGCCTTTCTTAGGAGTGGCAACTATGAGTGTGCCAGTGTGAGTTGGGTTAAAGGTAATGTAGTGGGGTCAAACAAATCATGGCACACAGCAGGATCTGATTCTCTAGAGCAGCAGTCGCCAACTTTTCAGAGCTCAAGGATCACCAAATTCATAATTTTAAATCCCCCAGACCACTAATGTGAATCCCGTGGTCCACCAAACAAGAAATGATAGTTATTAGTCAAATTATTTGATGACATTAACTATAACAGTTAAAGAAGATACACAGTTACATACAAGATACTACTAAAATTGTCTCGCAGACCACCATAATTTACATGTGAAATATATTCTCTCTTAACCCCCAATGTGCCTTCTTGTATATAAATAAATAAATAAATATTAAGAGGAGCTGGTCCCAAATCTGCACACAGAAATAACACCCGATGAAACCAGAAGGCATGGCAGAATTTGCCGAATTCTGTAACTGCCCCTTCCCCCACCTCCCCGTTTAAAAGCAAAGGTACAATAGGTACCCTGAGAGAGAACTATCAATATCAGAGGCCCGAGACTGTTCAACACGCTTCCACTACACACATGGGGGCATAAGTGACCGACCCCTCAGTGTTCATGAAAGAACTTGATAAACGCCGCCAAAGGATTCCTGATCAACCGGGCTATGATTCATGTCAGGCTGCAAGCAGCCACATCCAACAGCCTGGTTGACCAGTCCAACAAGCAAGAGGCTTGGTCAGGGACCAGGCCACGGGAAATCATCGCAAGGTAAAGGTAAGGAGGAAAATGTGTTTGAATGAGAGTAAGGTACCGTAGTCTTCCCATTAAGGCAGGGGGTAATAAGCAGTTAAGTAAAACTAATGAAGAGCCCTTCTGACTGTGTCAGAAGGGTAGAGCATTGACTGTCAAATGCCCTGAATGGAAAGGTCTACTAGGTTTGTGCATTTCCTACATACACCTGGAAAGGGGGCCAAGGCCTTTTCCCCACTGGCCCCAGGACGTCGTACATGAGCCCCCCCCCCCCCACAAGGCAAAACTCTTGCACAAGTTTCTCCTGATAAAAATCTGACCAACTTTCCTTGTTAGCAAGAAAGACAGAATGAGGACCCAAACCAATCAGCTATTCAGATAAACAAGGAAAGAATTTTTAAAGAGCTGAAGCTCCTGAGAAACCACAATGGCTAACCTGGTAAACATGCTGAGTGGAGCCCAAAAGTGGATGGGGCTTTGGCAGACTGAAAACCGTCCTTGGATGAATAAAATCATATCAGTTGGACAGCGAAAGGGCTGACGAGCTCAGCAAGAGCAAGCCCAAGGATGTTTTCCAATCCCAAGCTGAAGTTTATCCCTTCAAAAAGAGACTGAGTGAAGAGAAAGTAGTCATTCTCACGCACCAGCACTTCACCCAGGAGACCACTTACCCAAAGACCTATATTGTCAATAATGAGGAGTGCATTTGGAAGACTTTAACAGAAACATCTGTTGAAGCAGATGAAATGCAGCAAATGCAGAGCACAAGTCTCAGAAAAATAAATTATTCAGATTTTTGAGGGTGTTGTATATACAGTACATGTATCCCAGAATTAATATTATGTGCCAACCGTGTGGTTTATAGCTGAATTATCTTTATGTAACTATGAAATTCCACACAACCCTTTAATGGAAGTCCACAATAGTTATACAGTATCAACACTTGGATTTTATGGTTCAGTATAATATAAATTATAACTCGATGGAAAATTCTTTCTCTTTAATTAATTGTAAGTTTAAAATATGTCAGACATGGGCATCTGATGTACTCAAATTAGATGCATACATGCTTAGAAAATTATTGTCTAGTAATGTGTTAAATAAAAAGCATAAATATTCTCTAATTTTTGTTTTTTACCTGGAAGCTCACAACAAATGGATTATATTAATTGGGCTGTACAAGAGGGGGGGGGGGGGGGGACAAGGAAGAGGAACTGTACAAAAATATTGACTATCTGGTATATGACAAACAAGGTTCAACACACCCCTGGTCACTGTACATAGCCTAATGCAATTTTTCTTTAATTATTAAGTGCTCTCAAATAAAAGCTGCCCTTTTCCTTCCACGGAATTCAGTCTTTTAAATTAACTGCCCGTTTAAATAGAAAGATCAATGATCAATTTCTGATTTCTATAAATATATGGTCATTATATATATTTATAAATAAATACATACATACAATTGTGAACACTATAGTATCAGATCTTCAAAAAAGAAAATTATGCTTAACACAAATAATTCTCATCAAAACCAATATTAAAAATAAGAATGAGGGAGAGGTGATGAGATCAACCGAGTCGATCAACCCCGGACTTGTTGATTCATTGACCTTTCAACACTTCCAGGTGTCACTGAACTCTCACAAATGATCACACTCTCTAATTTGTATGACCGCCTCTCCCGGCTCATTTCTCCTTAAACAGAAACATGCAACACAAACCAACACCATTTTTATATATATATTGTGTATATATACATTATATATATATATATATATATATATATATATATATATATATATATATATATATATATATATATATATATATATATATATATGTCGTACCTAGTAGCCAGAACGCACTTTTTGGCCTACTATGCAAGGCCCGATTTGCCTAATAAGCCAAGTTTCCCTGAATTAATATATTTTTTCTAATTTTTTTCTTATGAAATGATAAAGCTACCCATTTCATTATGTATGACGTCAATTTTTTTTTATTGTATTTAAAATTAACGTAGATATATGACCGAACCTAACTAACCCTACCTAACCTAACCTAACCTATCTTTATAGGTTAGGTTAGGTTAGGTAGCCGAAAAAGTTAGGTTAGGTTAGGTTAGGTAGGTTAGGTAGTCGAAAAACAATTAATTCATGAAAACTTGGCTTATTAGGCAAATTGGGCCTTGCATAGTAGGCTGAGAAGTGCGTTCTGGCTACTAGGTACGACATATATATATATATAAATAAATATAAAAAAGCCAATACATCAGAGTGATCATACTTTTAAAGCTGCGCTTATAAAAAAAAATTATTTGGAAAGTTCAGTTGCCATTGGTATATGTTACCAGAGAGAACAAATGGAAATATTAAAACAATTTAATATTTTGGGGGTGAATTTGTATGTACATGCATATAAATGCTGTGTGAATATGGATGTGTGCATGGTACATACATGGGATTTGCACATGGCACTAATACATGCATAAATACATGTGTAGAAGCTATGTACACATGTATCTGACATGTACATATGCATGAGCGTGTTGTGTACACACAGCATACATGAAGACGTGTCCAAAACACACATAAATAGGTACAAATGAGAAGCATGTATGTGTGTGTGTGTGTGCACTAGTGAATAAGATTCATTGTGAGTAAGATTGAGCGAGAGTGAATATGACTTAAGTGAACGATGCGTAACGTCTTATTTGTATTTCTGATAACTATACAGCTCATGAACAAAAGTTTAACAAAGTCAATGACCGGTGGATCTCTCATGAAATATTCCACTTCTGACATGAAGATAACACAGGTAATGCAGTAAAGTCAAAACATTTATACACTTTCAATTTTACAGAACTATAAACCTTCCCATAAGCCGGCTTTTACCTTTTTATCAAGGCGAATTTATCCTTTTTTGTGAACCTTGTTACACAACTGACAGTTAGACCAGCACCTACCTATAAATTGTGAAATATCTACAGTTTCTGATATAGTACTGCATATTGTGAAGAAAAATACCTAAGTTATAGATTGTACGATTTCAAGTCACCAGTTTAAGAGTAAATAATACCTGATGCAGTAAAATATTTTCTAGACCATAATGAAATTATGAAAACAACATCTTCAACATGTTTCCCTCCACAAGAGTGTAATGTAGTGAAATTCACTTACTACAGACACACTAAATTCCATTTAACAGAAATTTTGCATTAGTAAATACTGTGTGTGTGTGTTTATAAGAAAATTATAAGAAAACCAAAATTAAAAACTTTGTAGAGCTATTTTCATAAACGGTTTTTAATAGTACAGTATGTATTAATTTGAATCAAAGATCAGGTAACTTAACATTTCATCATCCCAATCACAAAGCTGGTCTATGGGAAAAGGAAATTTCCCCATGTGGTACCACCTTTTCATGCTTAACAAAGACACTAGCCTCATCAGAGACTTGGCTCGGAGTCCCGACTGACGGGAGCACCTGTCAAAACCTTCAAAGTTACAAGAAGCAACAGGAAGAGAAGAGACAGACATATTAGGTGTTCTATTTTCTGTAAGTTCACATTCTTTATGAAGGAGTTGGACAGCACATAAATCTTGCATTTTGAGCGATTTCTTATGAGAACTGATCATGGAGGTTTCTTCTGTTTTTAATACTTTGGTAGTTGACATCTGTGGCGAAGATGATTTTCTTTTTACACTTGCACTCGAGAAAAATGATCTTATGTCATTATGCACATTTGGAGATCTGTTGACTTTTTTCTTGTTGCAGACTGGTATTATTGGAGTACTACAGTGTACAGGACTGCTTAATTTACATTTGTTTTCATCACTTTTATGAACCGGAGACTTCTGAACAGAAAAGAATGAACGAATATCTCTGTTTGTCCCTGGTGAGCTATCAAACTTAATTTTTTTGTTGGGTGGTAATGCTATGCTGGAAGAGTTACATGAAAATGCTTCTTCAGTACACTCCACTGCATTATTCTGTTGATCACTTATCTTAATCTGGGCTTTTAGTTTGGCTCCTCTTGCCTGCCATTCTCTATCTTGTAAAGTTCTTGGTGACTTGGGTGTCTTAGGTGACTTGGGTAACTTGGGTGACTTGGGTGATTTGGGTGATTTGGGTGATTGGGGTGATTTGGGTGATTTGGGTGATTTGGGTGACTTGGGTGACATGGGAGCTATGGGACTGGTTGGAGTAATGATTGGAGAACTAGTAAGGGTTGGAGAAGTAGTAATAGTTGGAGAACTAGTAATGGTTGGAGAACTAATAACGGTTGGAGAACGAGGAACGGTTGGAGAACGAGGAACGGTTGGAGAACGAGGAACGGTCGGAGAACGAGGAATGGTCGGAGAAAGGGGAACGGTTGGAGAAAGAGGAACGGTTGGAGAAAGAAGAACGGTTGGAGAACTAGTAATGGTTGGAGATCTGGGCAGTGGAATGGAGGGAGTTACCTGTGTTTCACTGTCTGTAGATGTTACAGTTTTTGGACTAAGAGGCTCAGGACTACTACATGTAACAGATGTATCTGTGGAATGTGTCACCACATCAGGAATAGGTGGAATTATCTGTGAATCTGTTACTCCAGCTTGTTGGTCCTGAATGAGCACCTGTGCCTTTAGTTTTGCACCACGCCCATGCCATTCACGAGACGGAGACAAATCACTTTCTTTTAAGGGTGACGCTGGTGATAATTGTTCAACTGTGGGACTTTTTGCTTTCAAATTTTCTTTACATTGAGATTTTTCCTCCTCTTTTTTATTTAACAACGTGTCAATCCGAGTTATACAAAGCTTCTCGGTAGTATCAACAGGCATTTGTCTTTGGATCAATGACTGATCAACAAGGTCTGTGCAAAACTCTTGTTCAGTACAGTGAGGCGAATAAGTTCTCTTTGGACTTTTACTGATCACTTCCATACTCTCTAGTAATTTAGAACTTGGTCGCCTCTCTCTCACTGATCTAGTCTCAACAATAGTCTCTATTCCAGATAATCTCTCTTTAACACTTGTCTTGTTGTCTTCTATAACTGCTGCTCCTTCTATTACTCCAGTACTAGTGTCTGCTTTTAGTGGCTCAATTCCTAAAGTTTCTACCAACTTACTGCTTCTCCTCCTCCTCTGTCGCCCTAGTCTCACTCCAGTTTTGTTTTTAGCTTCATCATGCAAACTGACATTTATTTCCCTGGTATCTTTTCCTTTTAATGAACATTTAATTTCTTTTTCTAACGAATTACTTTCAACTGCACTAAACTCTGCTCTGGAATGAGACGTTTTTGCATTTCTAGGTGTTAAAGGATAGGACATTTGGTCAACTGAACTACAACATTCAGGTTCGATTAAATTATCTTTCACATCAACTTCTTTATTTCCACTCAGTTGAGACAGTCTCGATGGTAAATGTTCCATCCTCAACCTAAATGTCATATCAGAAACTGTTAGCCTATCCCCTTCATTAAGTCTAATTTCTTTATGATTAACCGAACTCTCACTTAGCTGTCTACTTTTTCTTCTTCTTGATTGCTGTCGAAAGTTGTCATCACTGCAACCAGATTTCACATCACACCGAGTAGCCAAAGATGATTGATTTACAGTGTCTGCTGATTTTGTCCTTGATCTCCTCCTCCTCCTCCTAAACAAACTTGTGTTCTTTTCACGGCTGGCTTTGTTGGTCTCGGGCGGAGGTGAAGGTCTTAATGCATCTTCAGTTTTATTGTCTTCCTTATTAGTTATAAGAACATCTGTACTTAAACTCTTACATGGTGAATTTATTGGTTGGGAATTTGATTTCAAGGGTAATCCAGAATCACCTGTCATTTCTTCTTGAGTAATAATTATGTTACTTGACTTGAACGGAGATATGCATGTAGATTCTTGAGAATCTAAACTGGTTCCAGAATTAAGTTTAGGGGGAGTCAAAGAATCTGAAACTCTCTCTTCCTTGGTAGTAGACCCTTCCATGTCTGACAATGCAGGGGTCTTCAAAACTTTTATGTCTGATGCAAGGATTGGTGTTTCCCGTATTCTTTCTGGAGATTTCCAGCTTTCTAAATCAAAATCTTGAATATCAATTATATTACTTTGTATATCAGATTTTTTAGTATTTACTTCATCTTCGTTCTGTCCAACTAAATTTTTATCAGTCAAAGAAACATCATCTTTTGATGACTTATCAGGAATGCTTTCATTAAAATTCAGTTTGTTGTCCTCTTTTTCATCACTTGATTGAGAGTTTCTCTGCCTTCTTGTGATATGCACTTTTGGACTTGCAGATGCAGGTTTTGATATATTTTGTTCTCTAGAAAAGACTAATGTTTCAGCTTCCCTAGCATCCATTATGTTGTTTGTTTTCATATCCCCAATATCTTGACCAACATCAGGTTGAACTATTCTGAGTGGTTTCACATTCAAAATATTTTCAGCTTGATTGGTCATAACAGAAGTCTTTTTCAACTGCTTCTCATTAACTTTCTGTTTTGCAGAAGCAGTAGTAGTTTGAGAATCTTTGTTATCTGCATTCACCTTCACAGAACTAACATCAGAACTAACGGATTCTTTACTATTGTTTGAATTTGTAAATTTAATATCTCTAAGAACAACTGGTGAACTCGCTTTATTTGAATTAAGTTTCCATATCTGTCTTACGGGAGTGATGCCAATCTTCCCTCCCTTCATTGTCAGTATGGGACTGGGCACAAAGTTTTCCAGGTCTTCAACATTGGGAAAGAGAAAGTGGCCAGGATTAACATAAACAACATTATTTGCATCTGTAATGTATCCTATTTGGTTGGTAACATCTCCTAATGCAGAATCCCCAACAAAGATAGCATCCATACTAGCATACACTTTAAAGTTTGGGTTTTGGGGCTCAGTAAGTAGCACAGATACTTGTTCATTGAGAGACGGTAAAGTAAAAAGATCAAGTTCAACAGTAGGCACATTTTCATCCTCTTTCTTGGTCATTGCAACTGGTTCATTTTCGAGGTCTTCTTTATTAACCTCGTCAAAAAGCGTATCTAATTCAGAAAGATCTGGAGTTTCATTCAAGTTTGTTTTTCTAGGTCGGCCTGGTCCCTTCTTTTTCTTCTTGTACCCTCCTTTAGCACCTTTAGGTGTGTGCCTCAAGGTTTTAGGAGTATAATTTTCTGAATCAGGCATTTCCTTGCTTTTTCTCCTGCATCCTTTGTGATTTATAGTGGGACTACTACTATTTGCTTTTTCAGGATAAACGATTTCTGATTCAGCCGAACTCTTTCTTCCCCGTTTCTTCGTCTTTCCATTTGCAGACAAAGATGACGTTTCTGCGACATAGCTTATATCGGGTAAATTGGGCTTTAGCACTTGTTTACGACTCTTCTTAACCTGTGAAGGCTTTAATGCCAGAGATTCTCCACTTGATGTAGCCTTTCCTTTCTCTTTGGTTTTTGTACATACTGGTATTTCCACACTGGGGTTGGCAACTGCATTTTGGGAAACAATTGTCTTGCATTTTGACTTTATATTAGCAATCTTTTTAATTAGTTTAAAATTTTGTCCATTTACATTTGGTAGCTTTTCTTGTGGTTTAACAACACTGGCTTGGAATGGGTTGTTTGTGGTACTGGAGAGTATACTTCCTCCACTGATTTTGACTGTGGTTATGCCATTAACATTTCTCGCTGTTGTTGGTGTTGTTGTTACTGTCTGGGAACTGTCAGGAAGTGACAGCATATTGCTGGAATTGCTTAATGGAATAACGCTTCTTCCAACAGACTTCATAACTATTCGTGGCCCTCTGCAGATCACAGGTAATTGATTTGTTGACTTCTGCACTATAACATTACCAACACTACCATGTTGTAATTGGTGTACTTTGTGGTAAAGGCTACCACTGGATGTTGTAACCAATCTGACTGTACTCGAGTTTGCCACAGTACTTGCATTAGAACAGGAAATATCTCCATTAGAAGACTTGACAGTAGACTGTCCACTGACCTTTATTACAAAATTTGCTCCTGTTTTTAGCGAGTCTCGACTTATCCCAGTAACTTCACTTACTGCACTATTTGGTACAAACTTTGGATTCTTATTTACTTTAATAATGCCATGACTTTTTCTTAAATGGCCACTCATACTGTCTACGTGCACCCACATTGAGCAATGTGCACACCTCAACATTCCCAACTCTATCAGTCTCATTTCATGTGTAAGATCCACAAGGGCTTTTTCAGCTAAATGACGGTGATAGCTCTTTGATGAAGGAAACCAGTGGCCACAACAGTAATTCTGACGCTCTAATCCTCCTACACCCACTAGTTTGATTGGAGAGATACGACGTCTGGTAGTATCAGAGCTGGTAGGAGATTCAGAAGCAGATGTAACAACCACACTTATTGCAGATGGTCCACCTCCTTTTGAAGTACCTGGCATTACCTGCAATAGCAAATATAATAATCACAATGTCAAAACACTAAAGGTTAAGTCATTTAAACCTGTTTTAGCATTAAATATGACATATCATGGGGCCTATGGATTCTGGCTGCAAATATTTTGATGTTGGACTAATGAAGCTTTAATTTTATTAACAGCTTTACAAATATAAACAATCACTTCAGTTCCAATGTAATTATTTATTCCTATTAATAAAAATTTGATTTAAACAGCTTTACAGTTTTTTTTTGAAGATAATTAAATATTATTTGATCATAGCTGATCGAGGTAGGTATTTCTCTACTCTTGTGCCAGTGGACCAGCCAACATGGGTCTTAAACTTAACCTGATATTATTTGTTAATAGCAGTCATATATCCTATAGTAATCATTAATAGGACAAGGAAAAAGAATGGGTGGATGGTAACTTTGAGTTTGAATATGAAAGTCCTTTACTAAATTACAAAGATCAAATACAGAAAAATGAGTACAGTATCCTTGGAATTTGCATGAATTTAGACTACAGTACATTCAATAGATTTATCCAAAGAAACAATCTGTATTATCAGGTAGATGTTCTCAGGCTCTGTAATAAAACAAGTAAACTTTTACAAAATAAATGTTTAATTTGAAAATAAGAACATTTTGTCCAATCCTTTGAGGTTGCAGAATACATTAATTATGCTGTTTTGTGATATATTTAGCCAATTGTGTTTCATCACAAGTGGGATATAGGGTCTTATAATAAATCTGTATCCAAGTCTATTGGAGTCAAGTTGCAGTAGTAGCTCTATCACATTAGATCTACAGGTGGGATTTAGGTTCATTCTGAAGCAAATGTATTTTCCTGTCCTGCTTCTTGATTTGTATTCACAAGTCACAAGCTTCAGTCAAGCACTTGAAATAAGAGAGAGCCTTATCCAGACACCTTTCTGGGTACCCAACTCCTTCCAGGCCAAGATGTCAATGGGAGATGAGACAACTATATTTCTGCTTGCAGCCAGATCCTTGCCTCGTAATCTTAACATGGAACTGTGAAGTTTCAGGGCATCTCTGGCTGGGACAAACATCTCCAGAATATTTTCTGGCCTAGCCAAAGAGTTGAAGTCTAACATATTAGATGGATAGCTGTTCACGAATGCAATACAGTACAGGCGAAACAAACAGTTCAATTAGTGTTTGATACCTGCTTGATGGGGTTTTGGTAGTTCTTCTACTCCCCAAGCCTGGCCCGAGGCCAGGTTTGACTTGTGAGAGTTTGGTCCACTAGGCTGTTGCTTGGAGCGGCCCGCAGGCCCATATACCCACCACAGCCTGGTTGGTATTATTTTATCTCCTTGGAAAAAAAAAACTATCTAGTTTTATCTTGAAGATGTCCACGGTTGTTCCGGCAATATTTCTTATGCTCGCTGAGAGGATGTTCAACAACCGTGGACCTCTAATGTTTATACAGTGTTTTCTGATTGTGCCTATGGCACCCCTGCTCTTCACTGGTTCTATTCTGCATTTTCTTCCATATCATTCACTCCAGTACATTGTTATTTTACTGTGAAGATTTTGGACCTGGCCCTCCAGTATTTTCCACGTATATATTATTTTATCTCTCTCTCATCTCCTTTCTAGTGAGTACATTTGAAGCGATTTGAGACGATCCTAATAATTTAGGTGCTTTATCGCATCTATATTCTCTGTATTCCCCCCCATTTCAGCAATCTCTCCTGCTCTGAAGGGGGAAGTGAGCACTGAGCAGTACTCAAGCCGGGACAGCACAAGTAATTCGAAGAGTACAACTATTGTGTTGGGATCTCTGGATTTGAAAGTTCTCGTAATCCATCCTTTCATTTTTCTGGCTGACTCAATATTTGCTTGGTTATGCTTCCTAAATGTTAGGTCGTCAGATATCATTATTTCCAAATCCTTTACATGCTGTTTTCCTACTATGGGCAGATTTGATTGTGTTTTGTACCCTGTATTATGTTTAAGGTCCTCATTTGTACCATACCTGAGTACCTGGAATTTATCACTGTTAAACATCATGTTATTGTCTGCTACCCAGCCAAACTTTATTAATATCTGCTTGTAGTTTGTCAATGTCTTCAACAGAGGTATTTTTCATGCTGATTTTTGTGTCATCTGCAAAGGATGATACGAAGCTGTCTTGTATTTGAGTCTATATCTGATATGAGAATAAGGAAAAGCAATGGTGCAAGGACTGTACCCTGAGGTACAGAGCTTTTAATTTTTAACAGAGCTCGATTTTATATGGATGACTGTTACTCTTTGTGTTTTGTTCGACAGAAAACTGAGCGAGTCCTACTTTACCAGTTAGTCCCATTGACCTCATTTTGTGTGTGTGCTATCACTCCATGGTCACATTTATCGAATGCCTTTGCAAAGTCCGTGTCTAACACATCTGCATTCTGTTTTTCTTCTAATGCCTCAGTGATTTTGTCGTAATGGTCAAGTAGCTGTGAGAGGCATGATCTTCCTGATCTAAATCCATGTTGGCTTGGGTTGTGGAGGTCATTGGTTTCCATAAAACTATTGACCTGACTCCTGATCACTCTCTCAAATACTTTTATTATGTGGGACGTTAGTGCAACTGGTCTATAATTTTTTTTCCAATACTTTGTTCCCTTCCTTGTGTAGAGGGGGCTATGTCTGCTGCTGTAAGTGCATCTGGTATCTCCCCCGTGTCCAAGCTCTTCCTTCACACTATACTGAATGCCTGCTTTACTGGCACCTTGCATTTATCTATAAAAATTGAATTCCACGAGTCTGGTCCCAGGGCTGAGTGCATGAGCATGTTTTCAATTTTCCTTTCAAAATCTGCCATGCTCGTGTTGATATCAGTTATATTTACAGGGGTTTGGATATCATGCATAAAGAAGTTGTCTGGATCTTCCACTTTCATGCTGTTTTTTTGGAGTGCTAAACATGTCCTCATTCTGCCTTTTTAAGATTTTACCGAATTCTTTGTCATCCTCCGTGTATGAACCTTCACTTGTACAAATAGGTCCAATATTGGCAGTGGTTTTTGCTTTTAATTTTGCACATGAAGAAATATTTTGTGTTTTTCTTGATTTTTAGAATTTCTTTCTGTTCTAGTTGCCTTTCTTCAATCTGATATGAATGCTTCACTCTCTGTTCGATTTCTTAAATTTCCCTGTTTAAATTATTCCTTCTTTGTATGGAGAGTCATGCTAGTTCTTCATTATTACTAATTCCTTTGACAAGAAGTGATTGGTTCAGTTAAGTTTTCCAATGCAACTTCTCATGGCCACTTTTCATGACAGCTGAGTGGACAGCGCTCGGGATTCGTAGTCCTAAGGGTCCGGGTTCAATCCCTGGCGGAGGCGGAAACAAATAGGCAGAGTTTCTTTCACCCTGATGCCCCTGTTCAACAAGCAGTAAATAGGTACCTGGGAGTTAGACAACTGCTACAGGCTGCTTCCTGGGGGAATAGGGTGTGGAATTAAAAAAAAAATCAATTGATTGACAGCTGAGAGGCGGGCCCAAAGAGCCAAAACTTAACCCTCGCAAGCACAACTAGGTAAGTACAACTAGGCGAGTACAAGCTGAGGCTATATCACAATATGTCATTATTGGAAAATGAGACATGTCAATTTTCTTTGCCAATGTGTCCATTATGAATATCAGGGTGTGGGCTTATGGCTATCAAATTAGGTGTTGTCCTCTCATTACTTTGTGGATTTTTTTCCGGATTTTTTTTTCTGCATTGGGCCTTCCTCTCTTGCAGTCTTCTTCTACAGATAAACTCAGTCCTTTCATTCTAATTCTTTTATTAATTTTTGTATTTCCATTCCATAAAATGTCGACCTTTTCTTTGAGGCAACATTATGTTAGCTCGGGTCAACTACAGGACAGGCCTCTCAGAAATTAAGTGTTGAAAGTAATGAAATGCCCTTTTATGGTGGGCCACCTAGTCATTTCCCATACCCACCCTGTTCCCTTCTTCCCATGGTAGTTGGGGAAGGATTTCTGTTTGGGCAATTCATAAATGAGACTGCTGGCTGGCAGGAACGTGTGACTTAGGCTGCCATCTCGGGACAGTCAGGCACATAAGAGTTAGTGTGTTTACATCGTGGCAGCAACTGTTTGTGTCGTTTTTGTCAGGATTACTTATTTCTTTTCAAGCATTTGCTTGTCTTGGAGCATATAAACTTTCTGGTTTGTTTTCCTCAGTTCTAAGATCTCTGATTCAAAGTTCCTCTTTCTTTGTATAGAGTGCCAGATTGTGGTCGTGGGGTCCCGATATCCTCAGACGAGTCTGAGACTGACTCAGACACCTAGTGTGATTCCCTAAGGCTTCACAACCACAGCTTATAACCTGAGAAGCTACCAAGTGGATGCCCTCCAAGAAAGTCCACTTAATGTAACTCAGAACACAATCCTGGCTAAGAATGCTAATCACCAACTACTGCACCTATCATGGCCTAGCACAACACACACACTAGCCAGACTGTACACTCCTACACTGTTATAATATCTAGCTGCAGGTGAAGTGACCATAGTCCCTGACCAGAGTGGCAAACACTGAAAATGGAACCAAAGAATAGTCAGAATAGGAAAGCTGTGACATAAAATCCACCCTAAACACTGTGGGAACTGTTTAAGGCAATCTACATCAATGACACCCTAATCAATGTTGAAGATGATAAGAGCACCATCAGCCAACCAACTCCCAGTAGATAAACCATGCAGACAAAGTTTATGTAGCTCAGGAGCAACATGCAAGCCTGGCAAAACATGTCCAGTCTAACATAAGATGCACATAGCCATGCAAACATAGCAACATTGATTCTGTTAAAAAGGGAGGCCACTATGACATCTCAAACTAACACCAGCCACATTGACACCTTAAAAGACCATAAGTGGAACGTCTGCTAGTTGACAAGGAAGCCAAAGTGCTTCAAATAGGCAAGGACAAGACTTCTTTCCAGAAGCCCAAGACAAATGAGAGCAAGTCTGTCCCGAAGCTGGAGCTGAAGCACCAAACTTTATCCAAAACACTTAATGAAGTGGTTGAAGAGACGCACCAATTTCCTGCAAAATTCCCCCCGACCTCTTAATCTGGAAAAGTGACAAGAGAGAACAGGAGAAAGATCACCAAAGAATGGTCAAGTGGACTCTTGATCCAGCATGTTCTGCAGTCAACACAGAAATCCCTCACTGCATCCCAGAGAATTGGAGCAGTAAATTTAAGCAGAGAATCTGAAGCAATTGTTACTGCCAACAGAGCAGGATGGGAACCCACAGGAGAAACCAGCTATGACTATAAATACTGAACCGAGCCAAACAATCCGAGAGCCTCCATCCGGTACATCCATGCTGTCCGAAATTACTTTTCTTGGACTTCCGTTTCCAATATTGCCAATGCAATATGGCCAACTACTCATATTGGTCATCAACAGCGTAAAGCAGCTTAGGTCAACAAACATTTAATTCAAGTGGATTTTATCACAATATGGGTCATTGGATAGCTCAACCTTTTAGGCAGGTAATTATCGTGCTCACTTTCACCAATATTTACAGGATGTATGGCTAGCACGAATACGGTTCCCTTTAATGGGGACAATAGATTTTACGAGGGAGACGGGGTCACTGATACAACAATGTGTATTAAATTAAAGTAACTAATTTATTACTCTTAGTCCTCCATACTGGGTTTGGGGATTTCTCTTTACTCTATGAAGCACCTTATACAAAGCTATAACAACCGTACTCGCACTGCAGATGCTGCCTCGTAAGGTTCCCTAATTTTAACACTGCAATTATATGACAAACTTCACTACACGGCTACCTATCACTGCTGCAATTCAAAGGATTTACAGGAGCTCCAATAGGATGCTTGGGATCCTAGTTCTGCAACTATGGATGTGTACATTTGGCAAAGATTGGTATCCTAGTTCTGCAACTATGGATGTGTACATTTGGCAAAGAAATTATCACTCGCTCACATGTGACTTGTCTTTCATCAACACAACATTTTGTGTAACTTAGGAACCTGAATGTTTTAAATTAGAGAAAAGAGAAGATGCAAATAAAGTGAGGCTGATATACTGTAATCAAAAGAAGCACCCTTCCAAAAAACAATAGATAGAGGAGACCTACCACTCTAGTCTGAGTTCGAAAGAAACCCAGGAAGACAGGTACAAGTGTCTTCCTGGCTTTCTTTCGAACTCAGACTAGAGTGGTAGGTCTCCTCTATCTATTGCTTTTTGGAAGGGTGCTTCTTTTGATTACAATATATCAGCCTCACTTATCTGCCAGGACATGGCAGAGAAACTAAACTCTAAAGATTTCAGGTCCATCTCAAGTGTGGTCATGATCACACACACCCAGAACCAAAGTAAATCCTGCTGAGCCAACAAAGAAAGGTTTTACTTGTAAAATGTAACAAAGACCATTGTAACTTTCAAGATGGCAGTGAATCCAAACCCCAAACTGGAACATGGAAATTGCAACCCAGGAGAGTCAAGGAAAAGTAAATATTAAACTGAGAGGTAGGATAACACAGTCCTTTACCTGAAGAAACTTTTCAGACTGGAGACAAGAACCAAAGGTGAGTGAAACAGTAATCAAGGTTCCTCCCCCAGGCAAATTCAAAACTCCTGGACCTAACCCTTGAAACAGAGGAGGAAGGGCCAGGGATAGAGCCCAAATCCCACACAGAACCCAAAGTATGGAGGGATGGGAAAGAGAGAACCCACAATAGAAGACAATGCCCTCCACCACCTAAAAACACGCTCCTCCAGGAATCCAAAAGGAACAATGACAAATGGAAGAGGACGGAGAGATTTTATGAACTGCCATCTACTCCACAATGAGGGTAAAGTCTGAAGACATAACAGCCATAGTGAAAATTTCATGGGTAAGAGGAGTTACTTCTCTTTTTCACAGGTAAGAGCTAACTTCCATGATCTGAAGGAGCATGGAGACTAGAATAAGTGGGGGAAGGCCAGAAGGCCAAATGATTGGAAGGTGAATAGACTGAGCAGGTGTAAATGGCATAACAGGATGATTCACAGGTCTAGAATGCATTAATTAAAGTTTAAATTCCTTCTCTGCATCAACAGCAGTTAGAGAGCATGACAGTCTGAAGCAGGAAGCACAGGCTGTAAACAGGCTGCTGTCCTAGTGGTAAGTAGCTAACACAAGAGCTCCAGCGATGACAAACATCATACAGCATAGGGTGAAAGAAACCTCACAGAAAAATGTAAAATGACTCTTCAGGCTGTTGAAGACCAGGCAGGCATGCCAATGGCAAGAGAATAATTGGCTGTAAGAGCTCGAACTATGTCAATTTCTGGTCGAGATACCAAGTGACCTGGGAGTGACCCATGAAAGTTCAAGTAAGGGTTATATCTTGAGGTTATCTTGAGATGATTTCGAGGCTTTAGTGTCCCCGCGGCCCGGTCCTCGACCAGGCCTCCACCCCCAGGAAGCAGCCCGTGACAGCTGACTAACACCCAGGTACCTATTTTACTGCTAGGTAACAGGGGCATAGGGTGAAAGAAACTCTGCCCATTGTTTCTCGCCGGCGCCTGGGATCAAACCCAGGACCACAGGATCACAAGACCAGTGTGCTGTCCGCTCGGTCGACCGACTCCCCAAGGGTAAGGGTTGCTTACCTGTTGCCAATTATTTGTTTTGTTTTCAAATTATTTGGTTCTTTTCTATTTGAGTGTTGCTTTGTCTGATCCTTGAACATTCTGTTTGGTTTACTTAGGCTGTATGGTGATCTATGATTCTTATGCTCCCCTCGCCTATCCGAGGAAGCCAGATTTTAATTCCATGTTGCCGATTAGCCAACGAAAGTTTTCATGGGCCTCATTGACATGGGTGGCCCTTCTGTTTCAGTGCCTTTAGCTAAGGGAAGCTACTGAGGGAGCTATCACACACACAAAAACAAAAAAGTAAATGTCAACAAGACATTTACTTTTTAATGCAAGAACAAGTCTCTTGCATTTGGAAAAAAAAAAAAGCTGAAAGTAATTTCAATAAGTTTAGACTAATAGGCACATTTAATAATGATGGAACTGGAAAATCAGGTTGAAGAAATTTACATGAAGGATACCCAATTCAAACACTTGTGCACAGATATGAACTTCTACATCTTCCTCAACACAGAGTAAAAATTAAAAATAATAATTTGTACATTTGGTATTAAATAGATGAAATTAATAATGAAGATGTGAAGGCTGTGTTACACATAACCATTATTGAAGACTGGAGGAAAAGTATTAAAATACTTTAATACGGACACATGGTATACATGCTGAAGGTGAAAATTGTCATGAGAATATAGTACAAACTGTACATAGTTAAAAGACCATTTAAAAAGTGGGCAGATGTGATGAATGAGATATTAAAAAGATAGTGGCATTAATGATGATATTGCCAAAATAATGAGTGCAGATCATGAGCAACTGAGGTGTTTTCAGTGAAAGACTCGGAGCAAACGGAGGTGTTGACCTCACCTGACAAATCAACTTAGTGAGCGCAGTAAATAAGGACGAAGCGCTCTAGCAGAATGGAAGAAGCTGATCACTCCAATTCACAGAATGTAAATTGAAGAAACACATGAGCAAGATGAGGAGCTGCTGTGTTTGATCCACCTTAAGTCTATGGGAAAGGAGGAATATGTAAGATAGACAAGACAGTTCTTTCAGAATAAGATATTATCTCTCTTGGGTAAATTTTTTTAGCACCAAGAGAAGGCAATATTTGTTATATGGCCCAGGTGGGCTTTCTGTGTGTAAAACTGCAAATATAATTCAAACAAAATATATATGCCATAAATCAAGGCTTCATGTAGCATACATTTAGTAATTCTTTAACACAAGGATAATTATTGTAGAATAAAACAAAACTAATGCATCAAAACATACTGTAAACCTATGTGTATATGAAACCAATCAGTGATTTTAACACAAAATAGTGTTCAATGGTATCTCCTCCTGGTATCAATGGTATTTTCTCCTCCCAATCATTTCACACTACATTATTAGGTTAGAGTAGGTAAAGTTCAAACTTGGTTAGATTTGCTAGACCAATTGCATTATGCAATTCTATTCCCACCAGTAAGCAGAGCTTGGTGGCTAGTGGAGCTGCATAAAATTAAATGTTGAATGTAATGAAATGTATTTTTCTCTTAAGGTCCTAGTGGCTCCCTGAATAACTTTGGAGCCACCAAGCCTTAGCCTAACACACCAGGCTTCTGAGAGCCATTCATCACCAATAGGGAGCTACAACCAGAAACTGTATCACTTTGCAGGGCACAAGGTGAGGAGAGCAGGGGATCAGAGATTAACCACAAACTGGGAAGAAGCCATAAATCATATCGTGCATATGCACGACAAAACAAGCAACTACTTGAAGGAAATTTGGTACCCCTAGGTAAACAAGGCAACAGATCATTACGATAGTGTAAATGCCCTAATTCAGATGCACCCGACTGCTATCAGATGGTAGCTCACCGGAGGTCTCAGCACTCTGCCCCATCACTGGAGGTCTTTCAGGTTCTCCATACAGTAGTTCAGTCTCCTTAAAAGTTGTTTGTTGCCGATCTAGATATGCACAAATGTCGGCTGCTTAATTGGCTTGCTTTGTTGCTTTGTTCATGGCTGACATTTCTGCTAGGGGCTTCTGGTAAGTCTTTTTGATGATGACCTTTCATTTCTTGTTCGTTCTAATTCAGTCTCGCCACACTTATGTTTGTCTCAGCGTTTGGTGTTCAGCTACAATACTTTGTTCTTTACCCTACAGCAAGTATTCAAGTATTCATTTGCTTTGTTTACCTAGGAGTACCAAATTTTGTGCAAGTATTTGCTTGTTTTGTTGTGCCTATGCTATTTGGTGGTCTCTCCCCTGTTTTGTGATGGATCTATGATTCCTTGCCCTGCTCACCTTGTGAGCAGGGCAAGGAATGTTGATGGGGTTTGTGACGATAATCTCCTTCAAGAGATTGAGCCTGCTCTTCCCTCCAAAATTACGTCTTCACAATTATATAAAAAGACTATGGAAGAAATGTCCAACAACGCCAACAACACCAGCACCAGCAAGGCTTGCCAGGGTGAGCAGAAACGTATGCATCCAGCCACCTGTTCGAACTCCAACCACCAAACTACCCGTTGATCGCTACGGCTCCGCTGATTGGTCGCCGGTCTGGCTGCACCTGCACTCGCCCCCAATACTACCTGATGTCTGGGGTCGCCCCAACATCAGTCCTCAGAATGTTCCGTGCTTTCGTAGCCAGCACTCCTCCCAGCTAGACGTTAGCGTGTACTGAGAGAGGTGGTGGCTTTAAGCCAATATTCCAGCACCTCCCACTTAACTGTTGTATTGCACTTCTTGTTATTTTGCCTTAACGTAACTTTTCATTGTGTCATTTTAAGTATTCTTATTATTTTGATTGATTGATTTTATTATACATATTTGTTTGTGCATTATTTTCATGTTTTGATTTATTTAACGTAATTAAAATTTCATTGTTAAAGTTTTACTTGTGTTTTGTGTGTCTTCTCCTTACCTTACCACAGACGAAGTTCCAGTTTTTCTATTTTTTTTTATAACTATGTGACGAGGCCATACCCCTAGCCTTAAACAGCCGAACACCAACGCGTTACCGTCACAGGTTGTTGATGGGGTTGTTGATGGGGTTGTTGATAGGCAAGGTTGATGGGGTTCTGAGAGTTCTACTCCCCAGCCCGAAGCCAAGCTTGACTTTTGAGAGTTTGGTCCACCAGGCTGTTGCTTGCAGCGGCCCGCAAGCCCACATATCCACCACAGCCCTGTTGGTCCGGCATTCCTTGGAGAAAATTATCTAGTTTTCTCTTGAAGATGTTCACGGTTGTTTTGGCAATATTCCTTATGCTCGCTGGGAGGGTGTTGAACCGCGGACCTCTTATATTTGTACAGTGTTCTCTGATTGTGCCTATGGCACCCCTGCTCCTCACTGGCTCTATTCTGCATTTTCTTCCATATTGCTCATTCCAGTATGTTTGGGAACCGGTGGCTGAGCGGACAGAACACTGGACGCGTGATCCTGTGGTCCCGGGTTCGATCACAGGCGCCGACGAGAAACAATGGGCAGAGTTTCTTTTACCCTGATGCTCCTGTTGCCTAGCAGTAAATAGGTACCTGGGAGTTAGTCAGCTGTGCCGGGCTGCTTCCTGGGGGTGGAGGCCTGGTCGAGGACTGGGCCGCGGGGACACGGGCCAAAATCATCTGAAGATAACCTCAAGATATGTTGTTATTTTACTGTGTAGATTTGGTACTTGGCCCTCCAGTATCTTCCAAGTCTATATTATTTGATATCTCTCTCGTCTTCTTCCTTGTGAGTACATTTGGAGAGCTTTGAGATGAATCCAATAATTTAGGTGCTTTATTGCTTCTATGTATGCCGTATATGTTCTCTGAATTCCCTCTATTTCAGCAATCTCTCCTGCTCTGAAGGGGAAAGTGAGTATTGAGCAGTACTCAAGATGTGACAGTACAAGTGATTTGTATAGTACAACCTATAATTGTGATGGGATCCCTGGATTTGAAAGTTCTCGTAATTCATCCGATCATTTTTCTGGCTAACGCAAAATTTACTTGGTTAAGCTCCCCAAACGTTAGGTCATTAGACATCATTACTTCCAAATCCTTTTCATGCTGCTTTCCCACTATGGGCACATTTGATTGTTTTGTACCCTGTATTATGTTTAAGGTCCTCCTTTTTACCGTACCTGAGTAGCTGGAATTTATCACTGTTAAACTTCATGTTATTTTCTGATGCCCAGTCAAAAACTTTATTAATAATATCTGCTTGAAGTATTTCAATGTCTTTAGCCGAGGTCATTTTCATACTGATATTTGTGTCATCTGCAAAGGATGATACGAAGCTGTGATTTGTATTTTTGTCTATATCTGATATGAGAATAAGGAAAAGCAGTGTTGCAAGGACTGTACCTTGAGGTACAGAGCTTTTAACTGCGCTTGGACTCGATTTTATATGATTGACTGTTACTGTGTCCTATTTGACAGAAAACTGAGTATCCAGCGTCCTACTTTATCGGTTATTCCCATTGACCTCATTTTGTGTGCTATCACTTCATGGTCACATTTATCGAAAGCCTTTGCGAAATCTGTGTATATCACATCAGCATTCTGTTTTTCTTCTAATGCCTCAGTGACTTTGTCGTAGTGATCAAGTAACTGTGAGAGGCACGATCTTCCCGCTCGAAATCAATGTTGGCCTGGGTTGTGAAGGCCATTGGTCTCCATGAAATTGGTGACCTGACTCCTAATCACTCTCTCAAATACTTTTATTATGTGGGACGTTACTGCAACTGGTCTATAATTCTTTGCCAATGCTTTGCTCCCTCCCTTGTGTAGAGGGGCTATGTCTGCTACTTTAAGTGCATCTGGTATCTCCCACGTGTCCAAGCTCTTCCTCCACAATATACCGAGTGCCTGTGCTACTGGCCCCTTGTATTTCTTTATAAAAATTGAATTCCATGAATTTGGACCCGAAGCTGAGTGCATGAGCATGTTTTCAATTTCTCTTTCAAAATCTAGTACGCTCGTGTTGATATCAGTTATACTGTATTTACAGGGGTTTGGATATCACGCATAAAGAAATTGTCTGAATCTTCCACTTTCATGTTGTTTATCAGAGTGCTAAACATGTCCTCATACTTCTTTTTTAGGATTTCACTAATTTCTTTGTCATCCTACGTGTATGACCCTTCACTCGTACGGATAGGTCCAATACTGACAGTGGTTTTTGCTTTTTCGCATATGTGAAGAAGTATTTTGGATTTTTCTTTAATTCCTGAATTGCTTTCTGTTCTAACTGCCTTTCTTCAGTTTGATATGAGTGTTTCAATTTCCGCTCGATTTCTTTAATCTCCCTATTTAAATTATTCCTTCTTTGACAGGAAAGTCATGTCTGCTTAAGCATTTCCGTTATTTTTTTCCTTCTTTTATAGTGTCGTCTGCGTTCTCTTTCTACGTTGGGCCTTTTTCTGGCTTTCCTCAAAGGAACATGTTTCAGACAGATTTGATATGCTTCCGAAGTCAGTTTTTCAATTCCTTCTGTAGGACTTGTATTACAGTACTTAGAACAGTTTCCCATGGAATGTTTGTAAGTTCCCTGTTTATTTTCTGCCAGTCTATCCTTTTATTATTAAAATTGAATTTACTGAATAACCCCTCTCGCTTGATCAACGTTTTAGGTCTATTCTGAGTATTGATGGTAGTTTGCACTTCAATGAGCTTGTGATCTGAGTATGTGGTATCTGATATCGTAATGTCCCTGATTATGTCTTCATTTTTTGTAAAGACCAGATCTATAATATTTTCATTTCTCGTTGGCACTGATATCTGCTGGTCGAGTGAAAATTTGTCACAGAATCTCAGTAGTTCTCTAATCTGTAGTTGGTTAGGTCCCGATAAATTTCATGGTATAATATTATTGTTTGCTATTCTCCATCTTAGACTAGGCAAGTTGAAGTCACCTAGAAAGATAATATCAGGTATCCGGTTCTCCAAATTACCAAGGCTGTTCTGTATTTTGTTTATCTGTTAGGTGAATTCCTCGGCCGTTGCATCTGGCGGTTTGTATATTAGAATAATAG